GGGCTGGTGGGGCCGAAGCCGGGCCTCTTCCCGGACAGCATGGAGTACCTGCTATGGCAGCAACAGCAACAGCAGCAGCAGCAGCAAAACCACCATCATCACCATCATCACCACCTCCGGATGTACAGTGCAGGGAGCGGGGGCGGCGGGGCCGTCAGCAAGTCGCCGGAGGTGTGCTCGGGGCTCTTGCGCGCCTACCCCCTGCCGGGTGTGGCCGACAAGGTGAGCTCCTCGCCCTTGAACTGTTTGGGCGCCCACGGGAATTTCTCGGTGGGGCCGTACTTTGCGCCCCCTTGGAACAGCGTCCTGGTCACCCCCAACAGCGACTGCTTCAACCCCCAGGAGCTGGCCAACGGGCACCGGGGGGAGCTGGGGGTGCCCCCCTCGGACGGGCTGCCCAGCCTCCCCAGTAAGACCCTCTGCAACGCCTCGATCCTGAGCAGCAGCCTCCAGTCGCTCGAGTATCTCATCAACGACATCCACCCTCCGTGCATCAAGGAGCAGATGCTGGGGAAAGGCTACGAGACCGTCTCGGTCCCGCGCCTCTTGGACCACCAGAACGCGCACATCCGCCTCCCCGTCTACAGATAAGAGCCGCCACCGGCGCCCTCTCCCGAGCCCGTGGGCGACCCGCGGCTACTACGGACGGACACGCTCTCTCTTTCTCTATATCTCTCTTTCCCCCCTTAACTTTCTTCCGGCCCCACGGGGAGAAGGAGAACGGATACGGTACAGCCCGCAGTGTCGCCCGCGTCGTGGGGAAAAACACTGCCGTTTTCTGCTGCTGAGGTTCACGCGCCTGGCTGCTCCGGGATGGAGGGGATCGCTTGTCTATTTAGCTCAGAAAAAAAAGATGTGTTTTTATTTCTTAAGAATGTGAACAGGGAGGTGCTGTCCGATTTTGCTGCTAACCCAGGGAAAAGAAGGCTTTCCGTTTTGTTTTTGAGCGTGAGAACGGGCGTGCGTGTGGGTGTGCGTCTGTGTTAACCAGCTGGATTTGCATGTGGAGGGGGGCGCCCCTTTTCCCATCTTCTCGAGAGAAGCTCCTGCCCTCTGTTGAGTTCAAGTAGGGGTTTGAAACGCGCTCTGGTAAGGATCCGGATCCCAGCCTCTCTCCCTCCTACTCCCCTGTCCACTCCCAGGAATCCAGGTGGCTTAGCCGTATGGCTTCATCTCCTTTCTAGCTGAAATCTATGACTTGCACTGTTTCAATTTAAAGCTAATAATAATTTTGGGACAGTAGATCGGGAGGAGATTTTAAGGAAGGAAGACAAACACTTGAAAACTTGAAGCAACCTTTTTTTTTTTAGTTCTAGTTAACCTACTGTACATTTCTGTGTTCAGCTGCTACATGACGGAGCCCTTCTCCTCCAAGATGTTACGGCCCTAGGTTGTTGGGGTTTTTTTTTATAAATTAAAACCTTACAGTTTATTATTATAATTATTATTATAATTATTATTTTTAATGGTGATTTTTTTTCATTGCCTGTGAGAAAGAGAATGTGTGCGTGCGTATGTTTGGGAGATGAGCAAGAAAAGCTAACAGGTGATGCGACAGAGCCACCTTCTCCAGTCTGGTACCATGCTGTCTGGGGGTGATGGGCATTGTGGTCTGACCCAGCTGAAGGGCTCCAGATTGGGGAGGGCTACTTTAGTGCAAGGAAAAGGCCGTCTTAGTGGTCTGTAAGTCTTCCCTTGCCCTTCATCTCAATCCATGCTGCTCCTTTCAAGTCTGTCCTTATAGCACCAGGCTATGGGCCCATGTTTTGATAGGAGATAAAAGGTGTGGAGCAGAGAGCAAGTGAAAGGGTAGGGAATTTGCTTCTTCAATATCCGGAGCAGAGGATTATATTCCTGTTTCCGTGCTTCTGTCAGGATGCTTCTAGAGCTGTGAAATTCCTGCATCAGCAGCGGGCTAGACTAGATGACCCCGGGGTGTCCCTTCCAACTCTGCAATTCTAGGACTCTGTAGTTTCTGTTTTGTTTTGCAGGAAATTAAAAAAAAAACTGAGCTGGACCCATAATGGCAGTCCCTGTTCCACCCCAAATTCTCGCACATGCACACACCCCTTTAGCTCATATATAAATCAGGTGGGATGGACAAAAGCATCCGGAAAAAGTGGAGGTTTGTGGGACTGTTTGAAAGAGGTGGGCAGGAGGAGGGAAAGGCTGTACCGCATGGCACGTTGGGTTCATGTTGCCCTTTCTCCCTTGCTTCTTCCTTTCCGTTTGCCCAGTTGAGCGACAGGGGCATTGTGGATCCCCCAAACCGTAAGGTATTTCGGGGTCGGTTCTGCCTTTATTCTGTTCTCAAAGCGGCTCACAGGGGAGGAACAAGCGTTGGATCCCACCGGATGCATCTCTTGTGTCCCTGTAGGAAGGGCCTCTCTTATGGGTTACAATATTTTGCATTCTTTTTTTTTAAAAAAAATCCCTCTTTAAAAGGAGGAAGAAGAAGCTCTTCTTCCCCCTCTAAAATAAAATAAAATAAAAAGGCCATTCAAACCCTGCAAGCTAAGTGTTTTCGCACAGTTTTATTCCAAGGGGCTTTTGCAGAAATGACCATTTCTTCCCCCCTCCCTCCCCGCCCCCTCACCTCAGAGCGACTGTGCGCAGAATCTGGAGGGTCCTGTGTGTCTTTAACCACCTGTTCCAGCACTAAGTGCATTTACAAATCTCTTGAGAATGTGTTTTTATATGGAAAAAAAAAGTGACCATTATATTCTACTGTGAGAAGTGCACCCTGCACTGTATTGTTTTAAAAATGAGAGAAAAACAAAAAGATAGAAAAAAAAATCAGCAAACGGTGTCTCTGGGTGTTGTCTGTCTTTTTTCTCTGCCCTTCTTCCCTTTCACCGCCAACCCAACCACCCTTCGAGAAGAAAAGAAAAAAAATATATATTAAAACCTGGGCTTTCTCTGGATGTCTGGTTCTGGAATTTGCTTGCTCGCCTTCCCTCTTTCCTGTCTTTGGGGGGCGAAAGGGCTCTCCCCCCCCCGCCGCCGCCCCGCTTTGGCTGGAGATGCATCGGCCCAAGTGGCAACCTTTCTCCTTGGTCCTGGATTTCCACCTGTGTCCTTCACCCTCCTTGGCCCACGTGGAATAGGTGGGGATCTCTCCCATCCTCACTGCAGCCTGGTGGGAGCCTCCGAGGTGCCCAAAGTGGGGGGGGGTCCTGGAAACTGGAGGGGGGGTGTCTGTGATCACTCCTGGGGGTGTGGTGGAGGGACCCTCGGGCCCATCATGGGCGGTTTCTCGGGAATCTTGAGCTGGTCTTAACCTGTCTCCTCCCTCTCAGGCAAGGATGGAAAGCCTCTTCCTAACACAGAGGGGTTCTCGGGGGGGGGGAGGAGAATGCTGGCCATGGCCAACGGCAGATAGGCCTAGCCAAAATGCCGCCATGTTTCAAAGCCGCCCACAGGCAGTAATTCAACCAGAGGGGGCTTCGGGATGCCCACCTGCGCTCCGGGATTAACATCGTTGGGAAGGTGACGAAGGGGGTGGCAGGAATCGGGGGTCCCGTTGAGAAACCTGTGATTGAGCCACACACACCCCTTTATTTATTCATTCATTTACGGATTGATTTTGAAGGAGGGGGGCTTCCTTAGGTTCGGGATGTCAAATCTGGCTTGCCATGAGGGAAAGCTTCCTGGGACAGTAAGGTCAAGGGTGGAAGGAGGAAGAAGTCAAAAGGTGGGTTTTGACAGCCCTCCTGCCACCTAACTGCCAGGACGCGCCGGTGGACCATCAATGTGGGACTGGGGTAGCAAAGAGGCTCATGCACCGGACCGTCTGGGGCTCTCGCTCTTTGGAGAGGGGAAACGCCGCTGTGGGTGGAGAGGAGCCCCGCCGCGGTCCACCCCACCCGGGTGGTTGGAGGGAGAGGTGGAACCGACGCCCTGCTGGCATTAACGTCAATGGGTGTCTCGTGGTCACGATGGGGCCGGTGGTGGTTGGGTTGGGTTTGGTTTGCCCCTCTTGGGAGGGCGAACGGCGGGTCCATCCATCGGTGCTGGGGTTGGCTCTGAATTCAT